GTTCTATATAATGTTGACTTCACATTAGTGATTCCCGCCGCAATTGTAAAATCCCGCTGCCGGAACACAATATTGTAACCCGCCACAATTGTAAAATCCGACCCGGGAAATCCGGTTTTTACGGGCGTGGTGCTACTACCTAATACTAAAACTAATAGTACGTCCTACCAGGATTTAGGCGAACATTATTGAGGAGGCCCTGGCCGGAGAGATTGATCAATGAAGGGGGGGGGGGGGGTTTATTAATGCGAAGTCAACATTACATGACATGGAGTCTGTGCCCTGTCGTGCCAACCACGACGACCTCCATAGCTAGAAACCCGGCATCCCCTGTGCAGAACTGCACATCGGCCTGAAATATGCGCACTCTTCTGCACGCAACCGGACCTGGATGTACGCGTTCTTATTGAGGAACTTGATACACTTCCTGAATTTCGCAGCGGAGATGGCTTGCAACATCTTGTAGCATTCTGCTCGCCAGTGCAGGCAAGCATCTCGACACACCAGATGATGCACCCCAGCACTCTCAAGACAATCACCTGCCAACGGAGAACGGCATCCATACAGTACCACCTGCCGAAGTTGAAGGAGCCCCTCTAGCGCGCCAGGACCCAAATGCCAAATATGGACTCTTAACCCGAGAATCCCTACTCAATCCTTCCAAAACCTTTGCTGATCTTCAGGCCTCACCGACGTGATTTGCAGGCTACCGAGGGACCGAGGCCCAGGCCATCACACGGTTCTTCTGAGCCGAGGCCTCTCATTAAAGCGGACTTGCTGAAACCGACCTACAAGAATCGGCAGATTCCTCGGGCAGAAGCTGGCAAAAGGACGTAGACACCATTAGGCTCCATTAGACCCCTCACCATCCCGGTAGCACCATGCTGCGAGGTGGGCAGGCCACAACACGGGATATCATTTGCGAAACCAAACTCATGAAAACTCTTGTGTCTTGCCATGGCGAACCTGCTTCTCAAAGTACTTGCAGAGATACCTGCCACAATGCCACCTCTCCCAGCATTCACCGGCCATGGTCATGCAAAGGCTGTCGCCTAATGAACTGAACCAGGGCCAGGATGAAGGCTCCTTGTAAGAAAATGATCGAACATGGGAGCAGGTGTCACCGAAGTATCTGCCCTCGTGCAGGATTTGAGACTCAGACCAAAGGCAAGCGTTCCCAAATGATAGCCTCACAACCCATGCGTTGACTCTGTGCATGTCCCTCTTTGGAATGGATGCAAAAACTTGAGGCCACCACGGAAAGACTTCCAAATTGCTCCTCGGATCACCGGCTCCTTCGAGTGCAAGTGCGGCGAGTTGCAGCGGAGTGCAATGGAGCACAGTGCAAGTGCGGAGTGGACCGTCACGACTGTGCCGCCCGATCCAGTCCTTTCCACGCCTCTCATCAATGGTGAAGAACCATTGAGCGCACGCGAATGCGACAATCAACCTTGCATCCGAATGGCCCCATCCAGCACATGAAAGACATGATCCTCTCTTGTTAGGAGCTGACACAAGATGCATACCCGACCCCCCTGGACCCCCCTCTTGTTCTCACCAAGAAGAGAAACTGGCCCAGGGCCACGAGAAACGCATTGTTCCACAACAAGGAGAAGAAGGCCTTGGGTAGCAGTCCAGATTTGAAGAGTGCCCAGTGGATGCATCAGTCAGCTCCTTGAAATGAATGCTTCGTGCTTCTGCGTTTCTGCCCTAAGGAAGCTGCCCCCGCGAACTTGTAATTGAACGTGTAGCGAGGCGGAGAGCATCTCCAGCATCGAGGCCTAGGCTTGAGATCTCCACACAACATGCGAACAGATCGAAACGCCTTCCACTGAAATGTTTAGAGACCATTTAAGGAAAGTAGGGAATTTGATAGCCCCGTTCCTTATTCGACTCGGGCCGACTCGGGCATTCTAGGCCCCTGCCATTGTCCGTGGTCATGCCGAAAAAGCATCACCGCACTTTCTCAAAACAAGTAGAGGGAGGGAGGGAGGGAGAGAGAGAGAGAGAGAGCGAGAGCGAGAGACGTCCTTTGCTGGGAACCCTACTGGCCTGTCAATGGCCAGGACCGGTCGCAAGCCACGGCACTGCTCTTGTGAGCTACAACATGCGAATCTCTTTTCTGCCGCCAGCTCAACGCCTGCGAGCTTCGTCAAGCTCTCGACATTGGTATACAGGTGCAAGTAGCCGCATACACTCCGCGCACACCTTCTTTACTCACTATCCTCACGTAGCTGCAGGAGCATCCGGAGTGTGATCCACAACATGCTGAAAGAAGTCACTGCGATGGAAGGCCTACATTCAAGAAAGACCTATCTGGAATAAGTGAAGCGATTGACCTTTCATGAGAGGGTTTCGGCACGACCTCGTTACCAAGATGAAGTACAAACCACCAAATGGTTATAGGGTGGCTGAAACGCCGGAAGTCAAGCCGAAGGCATGACCTAAACCGACGGTTTTAAGAGTAGAAATACACTCCACGCACATCGATGTGTTGATCAGCTCTGCTTCCTTCTGTCCCTCCGTGAGTACAGTTTGTGGCGACGCAGTCGTATGGGGGCTGCAACCTAAAGCAGCCTCATCAAGTCTCTGGCTGCTTCTGCTCGTGAGGCGATGAGCCCGGCATAAAGCTACTGTTAAACCACTGTCAGGACCCTGGGGCAGATGGAGTGGCAGGCCACATTTCTGCAGATCGCGCATGGATCCCAGAACCAAAAATACAGATAATTGCGCATGCTGCGCAAACTGAAGGTGCCTGCACTATTGGTTGACATACCCAAGGCAACTCTGAGTCTCTTCTAAGTGCGGTACACTATGCCATTGGTGTTTCCATACACCCCGGTGCAGGTGTCATTGGCCGAGGTGTAGTTGCCCTGGCCACGTGTGGACAGAACAAGTGCGTCTGACTGACGAGAAAACTTGTTCGACCACACGGCCCACAAGCAGGACTGCTGTGGACCGCAGTGCACAAGGGTGCACATCAAGCATGCAGGAACTGAATGTCCAAGCTGTTCCAAGACCGTTCCTGGAAAGCCAGCTCAGCCAGCCTGACTCCTATGATTTTTGTAAGGGATACACGAGACCATCATGAGCATCGTGCACAAGATGGGCAGCAGAAACAAGCCAGCGATGTGTCACCTCCAAACTTCCCATCGCCACACCCCTTGCTTCCGTTTCGTCTCAAAAGATTCAGTGTGACTGTTGGGACGGCTTTCGACCAATGATGCCAGCTACTACGAGCTACTGATGCAAGATGGGCAAGCCAAATCATTTGTTTGGGTGCTCCTTGAAATGGCGACACACAGGTCCATCCACTCCGTGTCACAGATTCACCTATGCGATATCAAACAGAAGCCCCATGCAACGGGAACATGTGGGTGGTGAAACGGATCTGGTTCAAACCTGTGAATCATCGCATTTGAGAGCGCGCGCCAGCAACAACGCCATGAGTGTGGCAATACTACCTGGCTTGGTCTCTCAGCTTGGACCCTTGTAAGCTTGTTCAAAAATGGATACCCGCGACTCACGTTACACATGGCGCATAACAGAACTGGCAGTTGCGGCATTTCGTTGCAAAGCTCATGGCCGTAAGTGAACGTGCGCGAAGTTGCCGAAGCGTCATGTTGCAACACTGCCAGGCATGAGTTGCGGACCTAGTGGCAATGGAACCGGGGAATGGGGAACACCGGCAATCCGTGACTATACACTTTTTATGTCACTCACCTGTTTGAAGCTCAGCTGGAGAACCGGAGAACACCGTGAGAACACCCGGCATGGTGTGGCCTGAGTGTGGCCTGGCACAATCCTACGCACTCGCATTTCTGGCAAAGCACGTGCACTTTGACCAGCTAAGTTGGACACAGCAGGAACATATATAGAGATCGACGGGTAAGAAATGTAAGAAAGACAGTATTCACGAACTACACACGCAAGATCGCAGATCTTGTGCAGTGTAGTATCTTAGCAATACTCTTGCACAACTAGCGTACCATGGGACCTTGAGATGGAATTGCGCTCACAGACGAGACTTCGCGCGACTCGCAGTCTTCCCTTCGCTGTCCTCTTCCAACAAACTCCTTTCTATCCACAAGTCTTTTGCAGTCACCGCAAACTTTCGAACAACCTCACCTCAGAAAACACGTTTAGAGTGGCTTTGGCTTTTCACCTCCCACCCATACCCCCCCCCCCCCCATCCTGCATGCTTTCGGCGAGAGTTCACTTGGCCAACCCACACAACCCTCCCACAGTACTCCAGTGGCAGACAACGTGTGGCATCCCTCACTCTCGTCGAGCCTCATACTTCCAAACAATATTCTGCGGCCACTTGTCGGTGCAAATCCCAGGTGTTGTATCATTTCCCCACCTTCAAGAGACAAGATGTGATGATGGGGCATCTGTGAAGGCCACACCAGAGCATGCGCAAGCTTAACTCCTCAAGCCAAGAAGCGCTTCCTCATACGTGGCAAAAGCTTCCGTGGGCCTCAGGCTATTCCACTCAACCTTCACAGCTTTGGAGACGGATTACTGATCCCGCAACCCTAACTTGGGCAGCGGCGTATAGTCGGCAGGGACTTGCGACAGAAGGAAAGACGCACACACGATCCATATTAGAATCCATGCGAAGCCGATGAGGATCTGGACAATCTGAGCGACGTGCAATGGGCATGGTTCGCTTTGGTTCGCTTTGCCCATAACTGCCCACTGCATCCAATTCTTTGGGACGAAATCAAGTTCTCACCGCGGCCGAGGAGCAGGAACTGCCAAGATTGTGGGGTTGCTGGCGACAAATGATGCCTGCAGATCTACTGATCTACTACACCGTCCCTACCAGCACTCGAATTCAACCCTCACCTGAGGAGAGGTAGAAAACGATTCTTCCTTGTGATTCAGTTCTCCCCCACCCACTTTGTGGCCTCAAGGATTAGGAAAAGTTGCTTCGAAGCACCCAGCTTCCATTCCCTTGTTGGCTTTTTGGTGTCAGGAACGCGCTCTACTCGACTCTACTCGATGTTCTCGAAAGTCCAGGCACACTGGGAAGGCAAGAGCCGGAAAGCATCGCTCTGTGAAGTCTCATGCGGGCCCTGGAAAGACAGCACAAACATTGTGCACGTTTGCGGACGTCAACATCCTGGAGTGAGAAACGCCGAAAAAGCAGCACCAGCGAGGAGCGAAATCATGATCGAGGAAATTCTCACGGCAGCCTAAATGCAACCGAAGGGGCAGCAACTTTGTTGACACCGATGGCGAGCCGGATTCGTTTCTGCAGAAAGCATACTGCAATGACCTGAGCCAGTTGCACGAGACCCTAAGAGCCCTAAGCACATCTAAGCACATATGCGTCATGCAGCAGTCTTGCAGCCAAGACTCCCAGATCACAGCCAAGCCCCATATTATATAGGCGAGGACTCGTACGAACTCGCCTCAGGAGAAAAGGAGAATCCAAAGCCGACAGTGCCAGCTTCTCCGATGATTCGAAGAATGAGGAAGCTGTCAAGGACAGGAGTACGAACTGTTAAAAACCACAGTATTCCTTTTCAGTCAAAGTGACGAACGCCCGAATCTTCAATCGCGAAGCCTTTGCTGCCTCGGCCGGGCACGCTTTCGAGTTCAGGACTATACACGGCCGTCAATGCTATCAGTCCAAGCAGCCATGGATCAGATGAGTGCAAAGCTAAAGAACTTAAGTGCCAGGCATTCTCCAAGCGATATACCAACCTCGAAACAAGTCGCAAGCTTACGCGTGGTGGATGTGCTTTGTTAGGGCCGCTGACGAGCCAAAGCAGATGCAGCTAGAGGGCTGGATTGCACAGCTCCCATTTCTTATTCTTGTCTGTCGTGAAGCACCTTGTGGGCTTGAGCAAGGATGGGCGATGAGAGAATGGAGGGGGGGGTTGGAGGAGCGTGGGAACCAAGTAAGAGACATGAAGAGACCAGTTTCGAGTTTTTTCTACAAGGCACCAAATGGTCGCTGCTGCTCCATCGGGATTGCGACCTGCAGCCGTCCAATCCAAACTTCAACAGCACGCTCATTGATAACGTCAGTTCACTTTTTGAGAGCACACTGGGATGACAAAAGGAGCACACAAGCAAGGACGCTAAGAGGCGGCTGAGGAATCACAGACATCAAGTTAACTCTCAAATGAGAAGTTGTAAGCCGTACGGAAGTACCGCGGAGAGATCCCCCACTTGCAAGATAATCTGTCCTGAAAATCTGGAGGGCGGGGGGCGGGGTAGTTTGCGCCTTGCGTTGTGTCAGTCGTGTGTGTTTGTGGCTGTTCGTGGTGGGGTGCCGCATGCGCTTGTCATCTTCCCCTGCTTTCAAACTAGCTGCCCACGTTCCTGCTTTACTGCTGGCAATCGTTAAGTTGTCAACTCAATCTTGGGTGTGACTATAAATGCTGTCTTCCGGGGCAGCCATAAACTCGGTCATTTTCCCTCCCCTTACTTGGTTGTATTCTTCTTGTCGTGGCTGCGCTTATAAGTCTAAAGAAGGCCAATGAACCCACCAAGAGTTCCAATGACTTCTTCTGCCACTGCACCTTCATTCTCCTACTGGCTTCCACGTGAACACTGATTGACTGAGCGTGACTGATTATGACTGATTCACATTCGGCTAAATGCGGATACCAATGTCAGCGCTATTGATGCCGTTCCGTATGAAGCAAGATTTCGGTACCTTCGTGTGAAGCGATCAGAAACGCTTACCACTTGGTGTCTGTGGGTTGCACCGAATGGTTCTCCACTGCGACATGCAAGGCGACCAAACACCGGGCTTGGGCTTCTTGCAGAAATTGTCTTGAAGCATCGGGTAGTCTGTCAGGTTGTAGCCTCAGCTTGCCCCGTGTCACTGGACAACACATGACAACACTCAATGCTGAACAGGGATGGCTCCCCGCTTGAATTGACAGCCCTAACCTCACAACCCAGCAAATACTTTGCATGTTTGGTCTTGGTCAAACGAAGTTCGATCCAAGCAGCTGATCGTGTGAGGTACGTTGGAGTCCCAACGCTGGCACTGGTATAAGCTCCTGCAGCGTTCTGCACACGCCTTCTTATAAAGACGGTTTTTCTCGGCGTGGTGGCCAAACGCCACTTCATTGATCCTCGTTGGCAGCCCCGTTAGCGCGCCACGAGGTGCTATGATGTGTACATGCCGATACAATAATATACATACTTGGACACATGTAAAGCCCTGTATGTACAGTGATTTTTCGTGCGCGTATACATACATCTTTTTAAAACCTTCTATTTTTGGAGAGCTGAAATCAATCCCAAGAAGCAGTGAGAATACATACATACAGTTGTTTGAACTCACATCCTCGTGTAGCGCTGTGCACCCCGGTAGTCGCTGCCATTCCCAGACATCGCTTCGCTGACCGCTGCTGTCCCAGACCTCACAAAGCAAACTTTGTGGCGGCCTACAGCTTTGTCTGAGGCAAACTGACGACTCATCAGGCAGAAAGCCCTGACTGCGTGGGCCAACACACCGTGCCCAACTGCTTTCCAGCGCATGTCTAGCAATTGGAAGTGATCCGAATACAGGACTACCTGTGACCCCGGAAGTTGTGTTGGCAATAATCAAGTCTTTCCTCGCACTGGGAAACTGATTGATCAAGGCGACCCTGACTAAGGGCTCGGCACAGCGTTTGACACAGTAACCAATGCTGTTGACACCAGGGCTGAACCTCGAAGACAGGGCGGGTGAGGGTCGAGTCAGAAAAACGAGTCGAAAACACCAAAGACCGAGTCAGAAGACAAGGAAGTCTATCCTCAGAAATTAGTACCGGAAACCGATAGGTACCTACACATAGGCACACCTCCCATAGGTAGGATAGGGTTTTATACATGGGGGGGGGAGGGGGGGGGGGGGGTGGGGGGTGTGGGGGGGCGGCTCGGCGATAGACCCCTATCATTTTCAGAAATGTCCCTATGCACGTCAAACGTCTCGAGGTTCCGTGCAAGTTGCTTCAAGCATAGATGAGTTTTGCGAGCATTGTGTTTGCAATTGGGAAGGGTGGGGGGGGGGGGGCTGCACCCCCTCCAACCCCCCGCTTTTTTAGGCCATGCAAGCTTCCTTCAAAAGCATTTTTTCAAACCCATCATGCGAGACGGTAACAACCCCTAAACCCTAAAAGCTAAAGACCCCTAAACCCTGAACAACACAAACACCTAAACCATAAACCCTAAAAAGCCCCTAAACCCTAAACCCCTAAACCCTAAACCGTAAAAAAAGAAAATCCCAAGCCCTAAACCCCGAACGCTGAAACCCCCTAAACCCTGAACCCTCAGAACCCCAAAGCCTAAACATCAAAAAAACACCAAACCTGAAACTCAACAAACCCATAAACCCTAATGAAAAAGAAAGCCCCCTAAACCTAACCCCCCTAAGACCCAAAAAGCGAGAAATCCGTGCACCCGAACAACCCTTAAACTCGAAACCCGAAAACGCGAAAACCCGCAAACCCGTAAGCCCTAAACTCCAAAAACTCCTGAACCCTAAACCATACATGCCCCTAAACCCTGAACCTCAATGTCCACGCCTTTTTTCAGGCACACATGAATCTTTGTCGAACTCATCATCCGAACTTTGTGTTTGCAAATAGGGGGGGGACTGCGCCCCCCCAACCCCCCCCCAACCCCCTGCTTGCTAAGCCATGCAAGCTTGCTTCAGGCATTTTTTTTCAAACCCATCTTGTGTTGCAAATGGAGGGGGCTGCGCCCCCCCCCCGCCCAACCCTCCGCTTTATTCTTTGGGAGGGGCCCTAACCCCCGCGCTTGTTAAGCCGTGCAAGCTTGCTTCAGGTTTTGTTCCAAACCCCTCATGCGATCATTATGTTTGCAATTGAGGGGCTGCGCCCCCCACCCCAACCCTATGCCTAGAAACCCCTAAGCCCTAAACCCTAAAAACCCCCAAACCCTCAACCCTGAAAACGCCTAAACCCTAAACCCTAAAATTCCCAAAACCTTAAACCTAAAAAACCCTAAACCCTAAAAACGCCTAAACCCAAAAACCCTAAAGCCTAAAAAGCCCTGAGCCCTAATCCCAAACACCCCCTAAACTCCAAACCCAAAACACCCTAAGCCCTAAAAACCCCTAAGCCCTGAACCCTAAAATCCCCCAAAACCCTAAAGCCTAAAAAACCCCAAACCCTAAACCCTAGAAACCCCTGAACCCTAAACCCTAAAAACCTCGAGCAACGAGGAGTGGAGTAGGAGTAGGAGTAGGCTTCGGGTTTTCTGTCAGGGTTCAAGGTGTTTTCGACTCACGTTTCTGGCAGGTGATTTCTGGGGGTCCATCACGTTTTGGGTCTGCCCTATTCTCGACTCAGGTCCGTCTGGTTTTCGACTCAGGTGCCTTGACTCATGAGCACTTTTTCCCCCCCCCCCTCACTCCTTGGAAGCACAAGGATTCTGGACCAAAAGACCTTCCTGTCTGCTGGGATACCTGCTCATTACCATGACTAGTCTGATCCTTCTGGTGAGTCTGACGATTGCCCTGACAGACAAAATCGCCGACCTGACCTGCAAGAGCAGTCTCGGAGCGATGCTATGGAGCAAACGCTATGCTGCTATGACGCAGCACATTGCAGCACATTGCAGCACATTGCAGCACTTGCTGTCGAAGTGCTTGTTTCCAAGCCAGTCTCAAGGAGGCCAGCACCATTGCACTGGAAGCTACGGATGAAGACGACGAGGCCTGACAACACACATCGACAAATCGCAAACTTTCGGGATCACTGTCGCTGGAAGTGCGTCACTCTTACCGAAAGGGAAAAGGAAGGCACCTCCACTTAAGACATTGTAAGTGCACACACGCACTCAGACACACCTACGTCATCTGGCACTTGCTATCATTCGCTCAACGCTTCGACCCTCTTTGCCTCCGAAGGCTAGTGCTGCAAGCACCAGGAAGAGCGAGAGCCACACGACCTCGGCCCGAGTACAATCGAGTTTATTCATGCACGGGTGCGTTTTTGCTTGTTCACTGCCTCTCCGTCGCGAAGCGAGTTTTTCATTGCTTCGCTCGACAAAGAGCGCCAACGTGCTGCAAGCAGGAACACAGCGGCTTCTGGAGGAGCCGCCGTTACCTTCCCCTGAACTTTGGGCGCGTCTCAATTCGGGAATCTGCCAGCATCGCTGCAAACCGCTGATCGTCTATGATCGCCAAGCCCAGGTCGGGGAGCCGGCAACACCATGCAAAACTCACACAAATTATCCGGTTTGGAGCTGCTTGGGGAAAGCTGCTAACATGATGTCAAGGGTGCTAGGCGGAGGCGAACAAGAGCAGGACAACAAAACATGGGAGGCAAAAGCGCTGCAGCGGGCTGCTCGCCTTACATGTCCTACTGGTCCTACAAGTTACTTGTACCTCAACACATTGAGGCCTCCACTTCCCTCAGAGACTCCAATACCCCTTAAAAGGGGAATATTCCTCAAATCACATTAGCATCCCTATGCCCTAGGACATGTCAACCGACATTCCAAAATGAAATGATGGTGGAGTCTCTGGGCTTAGGCCTCCCCACGACACCCACGAGGAAGCGGAGGGAGGCCAGGAAGACGAGGCCCAAGATAAAGGAGAAGAAGCCGACCACCTCACCAGCATGCACTGCTCCATGTGGGAACCATGCGCGGAACCACGCGGGAACCACGAGGGAAACCTCGTCATCCTGCATCAAGCTCTCGGTTCTGAGGCTACGACGACGAAGGCATCCATGGTAGCCATCCTCGGAGAGAAGAAACCACATCTAGAATCAAGGAGCTACATCCAAAAGCCACACAGAGTAGGTGAGAGTATCCCAAAAAGCTTGGGGACACCTCCGGCTTCTCTCTCACGCGTCCCCCTTTCTTTCTCCAAGGCTCAGCTCACTGAAGATGCCAGCCTTCTCAAATGTTGAAGGACATGACTGAACGCAACGACCAATGTGGTGCACAGTGTCTGCGCATGTTGGACAATTCGCGCCTGGCTCTCGAGGACGCGCATGGCCTGCTCCCCAGCACCTCCGCTACGACGGCATGGCGACGCTATGGTGCTGCTACGGGGCCGCTCTGCAGCATGCCACACTATGCCCCACTACTTGGTACATTTGGGGTCCATTGGGGAGCACAACAGCAGGGCCCCTGCAACCTACAATTCGCCCGAGAAATCAGACCAAGCTCAAATGCGACGAAAGCAAGCAACGAAGTTTGTAGCCATGTCATAACAGCAACCTCTTGAGTTGTGTGTAAATTTCCTTGTTCAGGCCAACAGCCTTCCAGCGTCGAGGTCAACGCATCGCCCAGGACAGCTGCCACACCACTGTCGACTTTGGGCATACACCGGTCAAAGGGGGCCTTGGCGATCTTCCAATGATTCCACAGGAGCAACATGAGTGCGAATGAATACAAACCAGTACAAATGAGTATATGGTCCTATCTTCTGCAACATAACGCCAAGTAACATCTCCGAAGGCAACACCAGGGAATGGGATGCAGTACCTCTCATGGTACGGGCAGACCTTCCAGGGGCCATGAGGCCAAGCAAGATCCGATCTAGATTGTCTCTTGCCAAAAGACTGCTAGCAGCAGAGGCCAGAAGAGCAGCAGCAGCAGCAGCAGTGGCTGTGGCCTCCAAGGGCAGAGCAGTGAAGGTGAACTGGTTGTTAATGGTGTCCTGCGCTGGCGTGAATCTGCTTTCCAAGCAATCGTGGGCAAAAAAAGCAAAACCCCAAATCTAAAGCAGGCCGAATCACAATCCTGAAGGCTTGCTGGCACATTGCTGTTTGTGGCTAGCGCATCCCAAGCAAACTTCCATGATGATGTTGGTGTGGGCGAGTAGACGTAGCTGCGAAGGCCTGGAGGTCACAGGTCAACAACACCAGAAGCAAACGAGACAGGCATTGCTTTGCCAGCATCAGTGCTCTGCACAACACATGGTGAGCTGAGCAAGGGCAAGTGTCCCAGTCGCCTGGAACTGAGGAGTCGTTGACCGTCGGAGCCGCGCAGGATGTTTGATTCAGGCAAACTGCAACCATGAATTTGGTCATCTCCTTGGCAGAGCTCAGTCCCAGGGTCATAAACGACTGCCCACCCCCTCAACATTGATTCGATTGCGGTCTGCATTTCGTGCATTATTTCGTGTACTTCTCAGTTTCTGGAGTTGGCCATGGCGCGCCCCAAATGGCTTCTGCATCAAATGAAATTGCGTTTGCACTTCCCGAGGAGAACAATTGGGCTGCTTTGCTGGGATCCGTGAACTCCGACATCCTGCAGGCGCTTGCACTATTCACGGTGAAGCACGTCCCCCCACACCCCTGCCTGACTAGCCCAAAGCAGCCATCTAATTGCCAGAACGTCTTGATGTTGCATCAAACTGCATCTTGTCCTCGATCCAATGGAGCTCGCTGCTGCGGCAGGGTCCTGGAAATCGTTTCATGCTTTGTTCCCGGAACTGCGGGCCGTGCATGGTTCACGAATTTTATTAAGCCCATGGTGACACAGGAGACTCACAGGAGTGTCCTGAAGATCTTCTAGGCCCAGGCTGGCTTCACAGCTGGCACACGGGAGCTTGCAGCAAGCACATCGATAGTCATTCAAATCCGCCTGGGCGATACACAAGCCTGCACCACTCAGCAGGACTGGCCTGCGCAGCAACTTGTACCAACATGAACCAACCCATTCAGCCCAGGTACGCTCGAAAGAATAGCGGTCAGTGCGTCTTCTGCCTCTCAAGGCAGGTGCAAGTTCCAGGAGTTCTGAATGGTCGTTCACCCAAGAACCTAAACGGGTCATGCACTCAAGGATCCTAATCTGAACATGTTGCAAGTGGTAAGGCTCTTTAAGGCTTAACGTGAAGTTGGACTGGGGTCCACACTGCCGTGGAACAGATCAGCTGTTTCGCAACCTCATCCACGGTCGCAGACACGTTGAGTGTCCTGCAAAAATTCACGGACAGTTTGTGTTCTGACCAATCCGAGCTGTTTGGACGCATCTTGGAATTCGCACGCAAACGCTCAAGCCAGTACTCCATCAAAGACTGCAAACTTGTGTCTTCACAGCTCAACCTGCTTTGCTGTCTAACATGCGTTCAACGCGTTCAGCATCAAACCCTGTCCGAAGGAGCTTCTTCACTCCCTGGTACTCATCAAGATCGCAGTAGTCGCCCTTGAAATCGCGCCTTGAACACATGTACAAACCACCCATTGTCCAAGCTGCGATGCAGTGCACTCCGATGGGACGAGCTGCGGCAAATATAGTTTCGAAGGATTCCCATCCGCATATCCAGCAAATACGATCGCTGCAAAGCCAAACCAATGCCTCAGAGTTCACTTGCCAAGAGGAGATACTGGAGACGCCACACACCCGGCCAGTGGTGAAAAGAATGCCCTCGGCCTCTCCAGAACTAGTCAAGCACTTGAAGTTGCTCGAACTTTGGTAAGGCCATGGCAGCACGAAGATGATGCAGCAAAGAACATCCGTGCAGTGGCGATTCTTCACTGGACCTCCTGAGACGTCCTTGTCGCCACCCTGGTCAAATGCAGCAAAAAGCTTGGCAGGTTAGCTGTGTGCTAGACTTGGTGCGTGGATAAAACATCTTTTCCGCCACATATCCATGCAAATACTCTAAATGAAATTCACGACCGCAGTATTAAAGGGGGAAAAGAGAACGCACTTCGTTCACATTCTATTAATATTGCGTGCTTCATTGCATTTCATTACCAATATTCGCCTCGGCTTCCTGCAACAAGCAGACCCGGATCGGGCCTCCTTCCCCCTAACCCATCTCTTCCCCCCATGCAAAATTTTCTGACGCCACCCCCCCCCCGCCCTGTGGGACCCCCCCCCAATCGCTTGGAGGAGCTGCAAACCGATGCCGTGAGGCCCCCCCAACCCCCCAACCCCCCCAACGCCCCACCCCCCCCCCCCCCACCCCGCCCCCCCCCCACCCCCCCCCACCCCTCCCAACCCCCCCCCCTTTGACCCCTCTGCCCTTCCTCTTTGCGAAACCCTCTTTCCTCCTTTCCTGTCCTGGGGCCGGCCCGGCTGCCGAGGCGGCGCGCGCAAGCGTTTACAAAGTTTACAATTAATATAATGTTCTCTTCGTAATATGAGTATTATAGTATTATAGCGCACGTAATATAATCTTTGTTTGGTGCGCACATTCATTTCTTTGTTCGTTTCGTTCAATCGCTCACTCACTTCGCGCGGTCACTCATCACTTCGTTCCTTGCAAGAGCGCGGGAAGGGGGGACATAGGAGGGGTGAACTCAGTCAGAGACCCCTTCGCCCCTTTTGGGTAATAATGCCACCGCCAACCCATTAGATGATTATTCCTATACTCCCCCCTGCACTTCACCGATATACACTACTACTTCCCCATTATCAATACAATTCTAGGAATAAACATTACCCCCATCTATTTTCTCTAAGGTGGCATTATTACTCAAAAGGGGCAAGGGGGGTCTTGTAGAATTTGGCATAGGGATTGGGGTCCAGGTTGTTACCCCAGAACAGCAAGCTCGCGACATTGCAATATGATTGAATTGCGCAATCAGGCTTCATGGAGTCGATGTAGCTAAACACTATAACACCTGACGACCGATTGCAATTTTTTTCGCACAAAGAAGCCCCAGTGTCGAGAGGACAGTTGCGCCTTGCCTATTTTTTGAGATCAGCAAGGGCAGCCATGATGGCTTGCTTCATGTCTTCAATGTCTGTCTTGAGCTCTGTCTTTGTCTCTTCGATCTTGGCATCGATCTTGGCATCGAGCTCTGTGATCTTGGCATCAATCTTTGCGGTCTCAGTCTTCAGCTCGTAGATCGATGCGTAGATGTTTCTATAAGGAGTCCATATGGCAAATACCGGAACAGAATTCAGTTTTGCGCGGCGACCCAGTCCGCGCAGCCCCGCTGCTGCAAGCTGAGCTGCTAACTCGAACTCTGCACCTTCTCCATTGATGCACACTGCGCAGCACCCTGGCCGTTGGATTTCCTTCGGACCAAAGCGCATTGCTCTTTCAAGCTGCCATAGCTTGTTTCGCAAACTCGCAGGTGTCTAGGTTTCCCCAATGGCTTGCGACACGAGAGAGGCTAGCATTTTTGAAGCACGTGTGTCTGAAAAGGGTTGCAAGGTGCATTTGAGGGCCCTCTTTCTTCAAGTAAAGGTCGCATTGGGGATTTGATGCTTGGGCAGCACCACGGTCGCCCCTTTTCCGGCCTTTTCCTTTCCTGCCCGTGTTCCAATTGAACCCAGGTTGGGTAACGAAGCCGCTCTCGAAAGCACTCTTTGCCTTCTGAACATCATCTTCCGTAGCTCGGATTTCGTAGAACGGCAGCCGCAGGAGGTCATCTCCCCCGTCGAGGGCTGCGTACACTTGTTTCTCGAACTCTTCTGTTGTGTAGATATCTTTGATGTCTTGCACTGACACCCAGGAAGCCGCGCGACAAGGCGTCCGTTGCCGTCGCAAACCACATCTGCTCGAACCCATTGCAAAGCTCTGGTCTGGAATGGAACCCTTGTAGGATGCCAGAAACAGCCCAGCCATGCAGAACCACACCAGTCCTGCAACACGAGGCCATTGATGACTCCGAACCATCGCGAAGCTACAGCTGTTGTTTTTTTTGCTATGCATAAACTGGCTACACACCGTGCCGCTTGCGTGTGCTACAAAGCTGCAAACAGATCAGAACGAGTGCGCAACAACGCACCGAAATACCGTGGCAGTGTAAAGCCTGACACTTGGTCTTCATGCAAATCAACTCACACATTGATCCGCTCCCACGTGCAATGCAAAATAGCTGTTATCAACCAACGAGCGCTTATGCAAAGTTTAGAAAAGTCAAACCGTTTAGGCCTATTGCAGCTCAAAGACGTAGAGGGGCCTGCAGAGGGGCGCTTCCAATCAATAGCATAACCACCCGGGGCAATTATCTGTTTTTACTCGCATCTCAAGGCACGATCTAGGCACAATCTCGTCCCACGATGTGTTCATGATGTTCCACGACGTTTCGTCTGTGCGTTCAGAGTACTGCAAACACGTCGCCTTGTCGAACTTTTGCTCAGCTTTGGCTTCCTCGGCAAGCACGTGCAATATTTGCTGTGCAACTCAGATCAGTTCTGGCTTGAGACAAACATAGCGTGTGTGACTGATGCTCGACTGAGGCCACGGTCATCATCGCGGCTGCAGCAGCAACTCCCCATGACCACACTGGGCCCCTGCGGCAGGGGCCCTCAAGGATCACCCGCCTCAGAACAGCAAAGAATTTGATCACAGAACATGACAGAACCAACAGCAGGCTTAAAAGCATGGACAGCAGTATATAAAATCACATAAAATCATAAAATCACATAAACTTCAAAAACTTTCAGACTAGGTAGCTACGCAGTCTTGTTTCTATGCGGGTCTGAAACTTGCTGTCACCTCCGAACTTCCGAAAAGCTTGGCACGATGCACGATCCAGTCCAATGGCCAGGGCTAGAGGCGGCTACGAGGCGGCTACTAGGCGGCTTAAGCACGTTTGCATCCGCTGCGATAAAACGCGGCATCGCGCGCTACACTTCTCTAAAGGAAGTTTGCAGGAGCACCTGCGATACAAGAAGCAGCTTTCGCAACCGGAAAACTCCGGACATGTGCCGGAGGCGCCGCGGAAGTGTTCGAGCGCACCCCGTGCCGCGGCGGGCCACGTCGCTTATGATCTGAAAAGTTGCTTCTGCACGGGAACTCAACCCCAACTCTCTCGTTGAAATTCGCGGGGCTCTGCGTCAGCGCAGCTTATCCGCTTGTTGCTCGCGACTGAAACCCCGACTCTCCATGCGGAAAGGTGGAAAAACCTCCTCCCGGCCCCCCGCAGCGCAGTGGCGCTGCAGCGCAGCGGCACAGGGGTGCAGCGTCGCGGCGTCGCGGCGTCATGCTGTGACGCTGAACTGAGACCCAGCAGCCGACAGCTGCAGAAAGGATTGCAGCTCCAATCGTACTCGGCCATGGCAAACGCAAAACTTCTAAGGAGACAGGCGGAAGCTGTAGCCGTTGCCCCTCGAAGTGTGAGAAAACCTCTGGACGAAGAAATTGTGGGACGAATCTGTATTCTTCAGGAAGCGTGGGAAAAACAAAATTATAAGGCACTCGCATTTGACTATGCAATCGAGGGTGCAAGGGAAACTCAAAAGGCGGAGGTGTTTTGCTTCGATCGAAGAACAAATGGGTTGCGTAGATAAGAAATCATTGCACGCACATGCACCCACCTCGACGCGTCTTACGATCCCTCTTTGCCATTGTCAATACTTCTCAGGCAAAGCCACAACCGGCCCAGACAATTGCTGACTCTTGCACCAAGCAGACACTCACACTCACGTGAACATGGAGGGCATCACCACAGCTTGACAAAGGAGGAACCAAGGAGGAACCATGCATAAGCACAAGCAAGCAACCCTCAGCTTCTGCGCGGAGAACTTAACTCAGAGAACAGAAGAACAGAACTCGGAGAGCAGATTAAACTCAGCCCACGACCGGCGGAGATGAAAGCACACCGAGGGCGCTCTCTCTACACAGTGAAGTGAGAGGCTTCGAGGCTTCGCCTTCCCCCCCCTCTCGGGCCGCGTCGGCTTCACAATGCTTTACATGTCATATGTTTGCCACAAAAAACATACACGCAAGGGGAAGCTTCCATGGAAAAGGACTCCCCGCAAGGTGCACCCAAAACCCAAACTCAAGACATCCTCTTCTCGAATACAAACATGGCCCAAAATCGTTCGCGACTGCGTCCTGCTTAAACGTCCTGAACCTCTTTCGCATCGCCTCAGCATTGTCATCCGCCCTGACACACTGGCAATCACTGGCAGAAACATGTCCCGCTTCTAACCATGACTGCGTTCCCTCATCGCCCTCTTGCTGCTCTTGCTGTTGGCTGGGCTTTGACTGGCACGCCCAGCCTGCCGCTCGTCTTTCCACGCTCCAGGATGCGTGCCTCTGCTCAGCAGCTGTCTGGGCAGGCTCCCCTCGGCTCCCCTCAAAATTTCAAGATTCAAGCCTCCATGACGGCTTCCGAGCAGTCGAAGAAAAGGGCAAACTGGACGTCAACGGCATCTGTCCAAAGTGAACAGCAATGGACACAAGGCAACATGCTGGCAAAATGCTGGCAAAATTGCTGGCAAAATTGCTGGCAAAAGTGCTGGCAAAACTGGCAGAATGTACGCCAAGCTGTCACCACATGTCACACCTTGGCCCGAGTGGATGACCGCACAGAGCCCGCCTCCCAAGACTTTCTCCCAGCCGGCCATGTTATCGAAGCTGCGTGGGAAGCCATCAATGAGGAACTTGCCCTGCAGCAGTCTGTTGACTTGTTGACGACAAAAGATGCTGGTTACAGTACTTTCGTGAGCCGGCGCTAGACTCGATGTCTCAAAAGATCCAGACAGAGACAGACATGGTGACACACCCATGACACGGTGCCGCACCTTTGCCCATCCATGTCTTTCCATCGCCTGCTTGATAAGTTGAACGGTTATCTCCACGGGCACGAGCTGCCCTTCCTGGGCGAAAGCTACACATTTCCGAGCGGAGTCAAAACCAAGCTGCAGGTGCTCATCATCGCATCATACCGCAATCAATGCAGGTCCTTGATGTAATTTTCTATGAGCTCGCCGTACTCTGAGCCGGGTCGACTTCGCTCCTGCACCACGTTTGAAGCAATTCAAGCACACAAGTGACCCTAATCCCTCCCTTTGGCCACTGCCAAGTCTCCTCCCGGAGCAGGTCTCCGGCACTCAAGTGGCGGTAGCCGAAGGTCTGAACAATGGAAGGCAAGAACATGTATTTCTGAGTCCATAAGCGGGGGAACCCGTAATTATCTGCTTTCCCTTACTGCCCGCTGCCTTTCGCAAGCAACCATGTTCAAACGTCAGGTGACTTGGCTCGCTGTGCCTCGCTTATCCGCGCACACTGAGTGCCTTTGCCTCGTGAAGGGCGTCAATACGAGAGAAGTACGGAGATGTACGGAGATGTGTGGAGATGTGCGGAGCATCGCAGACATTCCGAAGTGCCGAGCCTGCTCCTGGCCCGCCGAGGACGAAAACGACCGAGGGCCTTTTTTTTGTCCCACATGCTCGCTTGCGAGGAGAAAAAAACGGCGGGTACCGACTGCTTTGAACATGCTCTGCTGGCTCTGCCACAGTTGATGCCAGATCACACTCACAGACTCATACACTGTCCAGTCATTGAGCAAAAGCAAGGTCTCCAGCTTGGCAGGGCTTGAAGGGTCCGGCAGCAGGCTGAGTTCGAAGTAACAGTGGATTCGGAAGGCGACCTTGGGCCACAGCTCTCTGCTTGCTGGGACAATATTCATGAACAGAAAGAAGTAGACAAGACATGCCAGACACTGCGCGCGTGCGGACACAACTCTTGGCCCCAATATGTAGGGACGTCTTGTTAGAGACCGTGTCTTATTTTGTAATTATCGTGTGCCTATTGGCGCATGGTTGGGCATGGGGTCGATACCGCAATGCCTGTAAGACTGTTCAATGCGTAGCAAGCAGTGCAGAGAATACTTTTGCAAAAATTGTCACAGTGCAACAAACAACAAAACTTGGGGGTGAGGGCCTGGGACGAAAGCTAGTTAAGGTACCCCCACGGAAGAGCTTCCGTCAACATGGCATCAACTACGCAGAAGGACAAGCACACGCAAAGGCAGCAGGTCGTGTCACCTTTTTTCTGGCGCAGGTGCCAATATTGACGTGGCATTCCTTCTGGCAATGTGTTGGTGTGTTGCTTTGCTCTGCGGTGTTTTAGCATCTTCCGGAGGGCTCTTTTTTGAAACGCATGACGCCACAACAGATGTTGCACTCACCAGGGGAACCTGTCCAATCCAGCTTTGAGGGACGCCGGACTCAAGTCAACATCAAGGCTTCTGAGTCTTTTCTTAGGGGGCTTTTCTGTTAGCATCTTCCGGAGGGCTCTTTTTTGAAGCGCATGACACCACAACAGATGTTGCACTCACCAGGCGAAGTCTGAAGTCTGTCCAATCCAGCTTTGAGGGAGGCCAGACTCAAATCAACATCAAGGCTTCTGAGTCTTTTCTTGGGGGACTTGGGGGGCTTTTCTAGGGCCTGGGATCCACAGAAAACAGCGTTCATTTGCACCCAATATACGAAAGAAATGAACGCCAGCCCGTTTCCCCAAAAACTGTGTTCGCCACCCGGAAATCGACCGGGTTTGCTGCGTTTCGTGGCGGAGCCTCCGGGGGCCCTGTATACCCTTCAGGTTGTAAGCTTCGCTTAGGTAAGGTACTCCGCTCCTCAGGGGCTAGCTTTCGTGACTTGTGTCCAGATATGTCTTCAATGCTCTTCAAAACTCCGCTCGATGAACCAAATGCTGATATGATGTGACCGGTTTGGTTCTGGCCGTGAATTCCAAAACGCCACCTTCAGCTGTCACATGCTTTACGTTGCAACAACGTCCAAAGCCGAACTGCACGGTTCTTCACTTAACACAAAGCAGGGGTGTACAACAGTGCCCACGCATTGCCATGCAGCGCCACCTCACCTCAGGCAGAGGCGCAGAAGCGCACAAATTCTGCAGCATCAGCCGGCGCCACCGTCTCACTAGACCTCCCCGAGTCCAGAGATGATCAAAAAAACTGAAAGCTTAAACCAGGAGACCCAAGTTTTAAGTGTCATACTCACCGAAAAGACGATGCATCGGCTTGGCTAGTGGAGGAACTAGTACAAGTTGATCCGCTTGAGCGGGGTTATGATGCTATAACTGTTACAGGCAAGGACCTCTGTGTGAGGAGTCGAAGGAGGAAACCGGGTGATGGCATGCGGTCTAGAGTTTTGACAATGATGCAGATAGCGCAGTGCGATGACCTTTCGTGCTGCAGAACCTTTGTTTGGGTATGCTTGCCACCTGTCTAGAAGGAACTCAGGGGTCGTGGCCAGGCTACTGTGATCTACTGTGTCCAAGCGTGAGCGAAACTTATCGAGAAGTAGACATGCGGAGACCAGAAATCCGTAGAAGACATGAACGCGCGAGCACGATCGACACTGAGCATGTGCCAGTATCTGAGATGTGTGCTTACCCGTCAGCTGGCTAAAGGCGGCCAGGATCACCCCAATCACAGACGAGGGGGCTTCTCGAAACCTTGAGCGACACTTCGCATCAGCAGTGCACAGATAGAAATAACAACATGGTTTATGGATGAAGCCGGGAATAAGTTGCCATGATGGGCACAAGTCCTGCGAAGTTGCTTCAATCAGCAGCAGCAGCAGCAGCAGCAGCAGCAGCAGCAGCAGCAGTGAAGCAATGCAATGTTCTGCCATTTCTTATGTTCGGATGTCATGCTGCAGCGCATGCATCCATATGGAGGATGCGCTGCAAAAGACAGTGCTCCTTTGGAGCAGTGTCAGCTCTCAATTGCTTGCTGTGTCTCTCCCTCCTCTTCCATTTTTGCCTTAAGCATTTGCATCCCAATTAGTCTGTCTAGTTTCTCTGGCTTTCTCATACTTCCGTTCCTTACAGCACCTGGTTCTACCATAGGCTGACCCATGAATGCACGTGACACGTTGCGGATCATTGCTTGGCTCTGCCCTCGCTTCACAAAGTCTCAGCGGAAGTTGCCCGGGGAATTCGAGGAAATTCCAGCTACCCCCATCCGCCGATGCTTTGTCAAGATTTCCTTGAGGGCGTCGAACTGGCCGAAGCTCATTCTGCGTCCTCCTTGGCAAGCCGCGCATTTCACACGGTGAGCTGTGAATAGCCAGACAGACTGTGCTCACAGGAGAAGACTGCCATGTCTCTCGTTTTGGCAGCATGAGCCGGCAACTCAATGTGGCACTGCACAAGCGCACGAATGAGCATCGGACCCCTTTTGAAGTATGGCAAGCTGCCCAAGCTAGTTGCAGTCTCCTGCCATGTGTGCTCAACTTCGAGATCACGGCAGGGTCTAGCACACTTGATCTGCTATTCCGACGTTGCCTGAGATTTTTCCAGCAATTCCGAATAGCCCTTCCTGTCCGTGGTGAGGCAGCTCGTGCTTGCAGGCATGCTTGCAGGGGAAAAGGCTTGTCTGAGCGTGCGACACTTCACTGTGGAGCCCGGACAAGTCGCTTATGCTAGGGCCTTGAAACTCAAAAAGAACAAGCATAACATCTGCACGCAGTTGCTCAACGTGCCACCATTCTTTGCAGGATCACAGTTGCATCGTCGTTCCACAAGTAACAACTACAATGCTTGACGTCCTCAGGTCATCACACTGCACATCGTAATGCTGGAAGAGCTGCTTGGCCTCTCCATGCAGCATGGCAAAGTGCACTTTTGTGAGACTTTACAGCACCAGTGCACTCTTTTAGAAGACATCTGGGCAGGATCCCAAAAACGCATCCGCTGTGGATTCGGGCAGTACTTCAACGCGGCAACTGCATTGGGAGTGGACTGTGGACACAACACGTATTTCGACTGCAAAAGCCGGAATACCGCAATCCGGGTCGGACGCTGTCAAAAATGAAGATTCTGAGAATACATCTGGCCCGGCGAAAGACTGCAACCGAACCCATCATTCCAGCGCACAAGCTTTAGGTTTCGCCGACTGAAGTTCTTATTACTGTACTTACATTTTCAGACTTTGCTGCGACGATGTTCTTTACTACTAGGTCTCTTAGCATGCTGTGTACTTGGTTCTGAGTATCCTTTTGGCCGTTAGGACATACCTCGCTACGACAAGAAAGAAAACAAACCTTTTGAATAAAGGATTCCAGCCTTGGGTTTGATTGGTGACATGGCTCTTGGTTGTCTCTGCCTCGGAAAAAGGCGCAGCCAAGTTCTATCATCCTGCAAGCTTGGCAGTCTTGCAAAGGGGCCAGCCTACGCAAAGCTCTGATTCCCTCACTCCAAAAGACTTGGACGCCAACGGATTTCTCTTCAAGACTCGAAGACCCTGCGTCAAGAGCTGGTCACAAACAAGGCAGAGGTTAATCAGCTTTAACCGCTGCGACAGCCCGGCCTCCGAACAGAAAAACGTTCGATCACTGTACAGATCATCTTCTGTAACCTCGGCTGCGAGCTCTCGAAAACAGAGGCGAGCCATGTCCCCTTGCGCTTCTGAGAGCCCAGGCCATATCCTTTAGCCAAAAGTTCTTGAATCTGTAGCTCCTTGGCACAAGGCGCGCTCACTCCGACACAAGCGCAAAGCTTGGGATTGCCAAGGCTGTGGCTGAGTCTTGAGATTCTCTTGAAAATGCTGGATTCCATTCTCCGTCTGCAACACCTGGCAGAATGCAGTATGCTCTGCTTCCCAAACTGCTGGCACCACCAGGCAACATGTGCGATACTTGTGCTGCCTGATCTATGAGCCGCATTTTCGGACCAGAGCCATTCTTGCGCCAGTCCTCAGACAAGCCAACTGCCCTCCCGTTTGCGCTCCACCTTCTGCTGCAGCAGCGTCCTCGAAGGCATTCATGCGCTTGTCGTCATTGACGTCCCGATTCTTCTTTTTGGAGCTCCTATGCGACTGGCGTCCTATGGCAAAGAGCTTTGCGAAAAGGTGACCCACTTTGCCCCCAACGATCTACGTATCTTGGAGACTGGCATTTACTGGCTATCTGACTGAGCTGGTCAAAATTATTTTCGGCTTTCTGAAAACCACGCTGAACAACGACGACATTCACATCGAAAAATCTGTGCCAAAACAGGCAATTCTACTCGACCTTTTTCCAAACTCTACGTGATCAACATTGTTTGCCAACGGGGTTCACAGAGGGTTCTTTATCAGCCCTGACAAACATTGAACAACAATCAATCTCGACTGCGTTCAACTGCCTTCGACTGCATTCGACAGTGCTCCTCAAGGCCCAGGACGCCTTGCCCTTAGTACCCTGCACGGAGAAGAGCACTGGGACCCGCCTGGCAATTCCAGGTGTTAGGGTCAGCAGCTGCATTTTAACATCTTTCTTTGGGGAACAAGATGGACAGCTCAAAGAAACTGCGTCAAACTGCAGCACACTTCGAGCGTTGACGTAGGCCGCCGATTACTCTGAGATGTTAGACACAATCGTGTGGGAAAGCATTGAAGTGCAACGCGCATAGAAGCCGAAAAGGAACCTTTGAATCCACTCTGTACAGCTTGCTCTCTAAGGCAAGTGTCGCCCTTCATCATCATCGAGGCTGAGTGGTCTGTATGAAACATACGTCGATAACGGTGTGACAACGGATCAACCCAAACATCGGCAAACTGTCCATTCCAGGCCTGGTCGATGCCCAGTTTGGGGTCCGTGGCAGCTGTGTTCGCCGGGGTGATGTACATACATAAAGGTCTCCAGCAGGTAACTTGGCGAAAGCGGAGCTGTATGGAGCTGCTGTCTGAAGCTTCAAACTCGAAAAGCTGAGTCTGGCGCAGGGTGCCTGCTCCAAGGCTTCACACCTCACCACGTGGACACCAGCAATCGCCATCAGCAATCGCCATCAGCAATCGCCATCAGCAATTCCCGCATCGCTGGCTCAAGAGTGCACCCTCACGCACTTCCGAGTGTGGGGCCGAGGCTGCTGCCTGTGTCAGAAGGTGACCTGGGCATCCGCTAAACGAGGCTCCTGCCGAACCGATGTGCCAAACTGGTCGTCCCAGAGACAGTCGACAGCACGGCAACGGCCACTACGCTCCGGCAGAGAAAAATCTACGGACCGCGCCAGCCACCAAGCTGCGGTGCCTCTCCAGTACTGAGACACATACGCCGGCCCTATGGATAGATCCGCTTGTCACGTGTGCAAAGCAAACTGATTGACCGAGAGAACCACTGAGGAAGATTCGTCGAGGCCCTGGCATGCTGTGGTGTTCGACCAGAAATTAGAGAGACCCAGAATTTCAACAGCAAGTGATTCTTCTTCGCGCTTGGGGCAGTTCTTGGGCTCAGTTGGTACACAAACGGGAAATCAGAGTGCTTGCAGTTCTTGCCCAGTAAGTTGTGTTCGCACCATGTAAGACCAACTGTTGTGCAAGTAGCGGCCTTGTTCACTGATGCGAACGAGGACAACGAAGTAGAGCTGACACAGGGCTGGCAGTGCAGAGGTCTGCTTGAAATCTAGCCCAGGTCACTAGAGATGCTGTGCCATGCCAACAAGCATGACAGCTAGCCACGTAGCTTCCAATTGCAACACCAAAAGATATCAAGAGTGTCGCGGCGGCTTCCCTGCTCCTCCCGTAATGCATGCTTTCATGCCTGGCTTGAACCTGAAACTGAGACTGACTGAGACTGACTGAGACTGACTGAGACTGCCCTTCCATCTGCTCTTAAATTCAACAGGCTGGGGCAGAACAACACCGTTCTGCTTGCACCCGAACTTCAAAGCCCTAGGGCTTGCGCGATTCCGTGACCGTGGCTTCGCGGCGGTTTGCGAAAAACAGTGCTCTTGGGCGAAGAATGCCCCCAAATGGTGGAAATGGCGAGCAACCGAGCTGTGAACCGTGCCATTTCTAAAGATCTTCATGTCCAGATATTGACTGTATGAGAATTCGCAATGCTTTGCCTTCATTCGCAGCCTCGCTTCAGTAGAGAGTGGACAAAACCCAAAACCTTCTGGGTCATCTGCCACCACCCTGTTGTGTGACACCCCCTTCCGCGCATGCCATCTGTGCCCTGCCCTTGCACATTGCTCCGGGCACCTGAGCTTTGAAGGTTGACGTGTCAAGACAGTGCTGCGGGGTCAGCAGTTGTCAAGCCCAAGGTGCACAGACGATATACCAAGAACCCCACCCAGAGACACAACCAACCGAGCACTATTGCAAACCCCTCTGCAATGTCTTGCTCTTGATCAGTACTTCCTCTCTCCCCCCTGCTCCTATGCAAAATCAATTGGAATACTTGAGTTTACGAGGCCGGCTGACCTCAACGTCTCCATGCTGCCAGGTCGTCGCTCAGCAGCGTTCGCACGCCTGCCAGCAGCACGTCAGAGGGCATCCACAACTTTCATGAAGCCTTTGATATATATACGACTTCAAACATCAACACTGCATCCAAGCTGCTTCCGGCAAGCCATCCACATAAGCATCGCGCAGCAATTCAGAACTCTGCACACATCTGCACAGCCAAAGAGGTCTGTGCGGTTTCAGGTCAACGTGGTAAAAAGAAAGCTGCATGCAGACCTTGTACACGTACGGAAACCCGTCAGCGGTCAGCGGAAAAAAATCACAGCAACAGCTGTGAATCTTGGCCCTCCCCAGTTTTTGCATGAAGGGTGTAACCCCGAGTCCTCACCACGAGCCTTTCCCTGTTGACCGCTTCATACTACTATGTTTGCAAAATGGGAGACTAAACTTGACTGAAATCCCACCTCCGCCGCTCGAAATCCATGTCAACTGGAGGCGGTATTCCTTCAAATCGGATTGAAACTCTCACTGGCTTCCGATCAGCACAAACTCAAAGCACACACGCACACAGAGTCCCTTGCTCAAGTCTCACTCAAGAGTGTTCATGAGTGCTCCTAGGTGCATACGCTGGTGCTTGGGCAACCCAGCTCCCGCGTCAGACCTGCACAGACCATTGAAGTGCCGAACTCGCTACATTCGGTTGTCTCAGCAACCCCCCAAGAAAATGGCAAACACCTCTAAACAACATCTGCCTGCGTACCGCACATTTCGGCGGCGGCCCCAGAAGAGACCGCCAGACCTGCCAAGGCAGGTGCACTTGGTCTTCCGTGAACGTGCACCTGATCCTAAGAAAAAACGAAGCATCGCAGTGAAGATGCACGAGGGGCTGCAATGTTTGCAATGTTTGCTGCGCAGTGTGAGCTGCACCGCGCTCTGTGAAGAGCAGCTGCTGTGCCTGCAAAGAACTGTTCTGGCCCAAGCTGGAGGATGCCAGCCTCAGCCGCTCAGCCGCTGAAGTTGAGCAAAGAACTATGCAGAGGTTCCTTGAATGAGCCATAGATGTTCTCTTCAGCTCCCTATGCTCCCTCCACCGCATGCACATGGTCTCTCAGCCTGCGGCGGGGCTTTCGGCAGAGTTGCTTCTGCAGCTCGGATCTGCGCAGGGCAGCTGATGCAGCGAACAATGTGCAAGCCGCATCTATAGATTGGGCACGGTGGCCTGCCACTCCCGTTTTGCCTGAGCAGCTCGTAGTCGGACGACGCTGTGGTGAGGCAATGCTTCAGCCTTGGGCTTGGAACTGGCCAAACTCATTTTGGGATTTTAAAGCTTACATCACATCGATGTCGTCCTTTTCACTGGGCGCATCATGCAACTTAGCCAAGAACCAAGGACAGACTTTGTTGATGAAGTCGCCGCAAGCTGTCCCAGAACTCCATCATGTCAATATCCCTGGGCCTGAGCACACCCCAAACATTGCCAAAGCCTGCCTTTGGCAAGCTCATGAACCAACATCAAAACGCTTGGTCCTGAGGCCCTGGCCCCATGAATTCGAGCTCCAATGCCTGGCACTGCCTTGCTTGGACCTTTGCACTGCATAACGAAAGGCCACGAATGCGTGTCTGGTCCCCCCAAAATATGCGAACGATCGTATCTGGTGCAAACGATTAGGCACAAACGGAGATCTCAACTGCCCGCTGCAGCAATGCACGTGAAACGCAGCCACCCTGGCAACAAGTGGGACAACCGCAAGTCAGTTCACTGTTGGATCACATGGAGCAATGATGTCTGGAAGTGGCTTGCTATGTCCAATCTTGTAAAGCTTTTATAGACTGTAAAGATGCATTGTGGAGACGCTTTGCAAGTTTATCTCTTTCTACATACGGTCGCCGATCTGTGGGCCCTCCATCCACTTTAAACAGGGTCCTCTGGGAAGCGTCAGGGTTTCTAGTATTCTAGTACATTGAGGAGCAAATGAGTGGCTTCAACATGATCTCACTTACGAAAAATAGCCTGGTGTGGAATCAGGCAAGATGTAACAAGCAGTTCTCAGAAAGGGGCAGCAAGTGCACTAGTGATAGCACCATGATATGAGAACTGTCAGGGAACGAGGCATGTTGCACCTGCTCTCAAACTTGCTGTCTTGAGCTCAACCAAAAGCTTTTCTACACAACAGCTGCAGAAACTAAGATAATCCTGCAACCATATTTTTGAATTGCACCTTGTCCGAGTCGCTGGAAGGCCTCCGAGCCTGCCGCTTCCAAAAACGCCCACAGCAGGCTGACAGACACAGCCTACGAGCTCAATCAGCATCTCAAATGTGCTGCCAAGTGCCTTCTCATAAAGCTCAGACACCACGAAATCGGCTGCCTGGATCATGTGCAGATCAAGTTTCAACAAGAGGACCAGAGTTCAGAACAGCAATCCCATACTTGACGGTGTCTGTGCTTAGATACAAAGTCAAGACTTGCCATAGCTCGGGCATATCTGAACAAGCGCCGTATTGCACAACATATTAGCGTGCAAAGCACTGCAAAGCATCTGTTGCAAGCCGAAGAAGCAAACAAGGGTCAGATGAATGCAGGTCGGAAATGCAAAGGTTAGGTGTGATTTGTTTTGCTCTCTTGATGCCTCTTTGCCACCAGTGCTTTGCTTCTTGCACCGTCAGATTTCATCCATGATCAGGTTTAAAGCGACACACAGTCTCGGACAAGATAATTTACTGACTTGTGACTGCGTGGCTGCCTTGGCAAGAGTTGTTGTTGGAATGGCTTTTGGAAGAAGAAGTCGGAGGCGTACTTTTTGCAGCTTCGAGCCTAAGCTCTCCTCTTGCTTGGACGTGGTCAAGCGCCAGAGAGCAGAGATGCAGCGTTTTCAAGTTTCAAAGTTTCAGTAGTTTCAAATTAGTTTCAAAATAATTTCAAAATCGCTGTCAAGGGGGAACTGCTATTTCTACGCGCAATTCCAAAAACTACAGGAATCTTAGAGGTTCCAAGCTTTCAAGAAGCGCGGACAGAAATTGCAGTTTCCCTTAACAGCGATTTGCAGCTGGATTTTGAAACTGGTTAGGAACTGATTGGAAACCAATTTGAAACTATGGAAACGAATTTGAAATTTGAAAATACCATATTCCCGGCCCTCGCATACGGCCCTCACGCACGGGAAGTTGACTTTGATCAGCCGTGACTAGAGACCAGAGTTTCCGAAAGCTTGCCAGTCTCCAGACAGTTGATGGACGAAATCCTGCATCACTTTTTCTCCAACCCTGAATTTTGACATTGCTGTCCTTGCAATGCTTCGAAAGGGCATGCCGCGAATGACCGAAATCCTGCATCATCCATATGCGCACGCAACATTGAAATTCGAGGGGAGCGGGGAGCTCAATTACCAACCGTCGCACACGTGTAACGTAGGGGGGGTCATGCAAGATTTCGTCCATTCACAGTAGCTATCGGTCATGTACAGTATGAGCAGCATGCTCACCCCGGCGTGTTTCTGTGATGATGGGAGTGGCTGGAAGAGGTGGAAAGTGGTTCACACTCGGTTTCGTGACCGGTGTGGTCAAGTCACGGGGACAAGTTCTGAGTCCGAGACCAACTGAATACAAAGGAGACACAGCCACGACATACTGTGCCCAGCCTCCGACGCACACTGTGCCACATCCAGTGCTTCGGCATGCCGAGCAGCCTGCCCAGCGGTAGTCGAAGGACAGCCAGGTGGCTACGCAGCCCTTTTTGATGTTGAAACTTGGCACTTGACATCGTCTCACATCATTTGGCTAATTTTGTCCTGTGCTTTTTTCCGCTTTTTGCCGCTTGGCCGCTTGCCAATCAGATGCAGTATGATGCGGTCCAAGGCTTAGATCGAAAGCCTAAAGTTCCAACAGTGTCATGGCACGGCCTGCGAAAGGCCTGCACACAGCAGCACTTGCACTCCCACTCTGGCCAGAGCAACCTGCAGAGACATGGCACAAAAACTACCAGCTCACAGTACCAACTTTCGCTCTCGCACCTCATCTAATTGGTCATCTGCTTCGACCTTCGAAAAGGCTTGCTCCAGCAGCTGGACGGCCTTGAAGCATTCCAATTGAGTTCCAATCTTTCGATGACATGCCGAACAAGGCCGCACGTGCAACTTCCGGAAAACAGGTTTTTCGATAGCTCCCGATGCAACACTTTGGAAGGTCGCCCTAGCTCTGGCTTATGAACGTCAAAGAACAGGAGAAGAAGAGATAAGGACAGAAGGAGGAAAAAAAAGATAAGATTTCCAGACCTCCTTGTGAAGGGTTTCGTAACTGGCAAACTTGAGCACCATGGCATGTGCGAGGGATCCGCAACCGGATGCGAGCACATTCTGGTATTTGCAAGGATTCCACGAGCAGGAGCCAAACTAACGAGCCTGGGATCCAGCTCCGGAGCCACGAGTGGGAGCAGGGTGAGCGCAGGCAAGCGGGGCCGTGAGCTGTTTGGGGAACTTCGAAGCACAAAAGCACAAAGAGATGGCCGGCAAGTTCAACAGCCTAGCCACCGAGTAACGAAAAGCCCAGCAAGCCAAGAGACCAGAAAACCAAGTAGCTCAGGAATGCTCAGAAGCCCGAAAGCCAGGAACCCGAGGCGGGCAGGACCGAAAGGCCTAAAGGCCAAGCGGCCAGTGCCGAAAAGCCCTAGAGCCCAAAAATGAAGCGACCCAACTCTTTCTGACTGTAGTCTCATCGTTGTTGATTATATGTTATCTTTTGTGTCTTGACTTGGTGTTTGCTATTGGGCATCCTCCAACGTGCTTCTGTTCTATCGTCATATCCCCAACTCCTGGCCCAAGCCTCCCGTCCAGTTTCTGAACTGCGGAATGCAGAATTCTGAATGGGGCAGATCTAGGCCGCGTCCCAGGTGCTGCGAGAATATTGGGGCGTCGGGTTTATGCAAGAAAGCCTCCTCAACTTCGTTCGCCAGGATGAGCCTCGAAGCGGCCTTGGGCAGATTCCAATGTGTATGTTGCTGCTCAACTCTCGAAATCCTAGAGTGACTGTTGTGAACATGTTGTGTGGCTTCTCAGCGCCGTTCTTCGGCCAAAGACTCGAGCGAGTCCAGCAACGCCTGACAGTGGCAGTCGGTTGAACGTACTGGTTGACACGCAGGCCCTCCAAGCCATCCAGCTTCTCAAAATTGCCCGAACCTGTACACTCGAAGAAACTTGCGGCTGCACCTGACAAGAGACAACACACGTGAGCCCGACAACAGAAGCGAGCACCATCGAGCACCTACCCTGAAGGTCAGATGGCATCCAAAAGCGCTGCATTGGCGCTGCATCACACAACCGCATCATGTGACTCATGTACAAAAACAACTTCAACAGTCCAACAGCATCTTTGTTCAAAGCTTGGATATCCAGTGGCCTTGCCCTCTGACTCCACCTTCCTGTCCCAGGCCAAGGAAACGCTTGCATGACATGGTTCAACTGCCAGCTCAACAAAGGCATACCCATCATGACCAAATGTCTGCACAACTGTCATGCAAAGGGAAACCCCTGCAAGTGAAAGGCTACCAAAACTTCGAAGTCGAATTAGGCCCCGGAGCAAACTAGACATGCCCCCCCAGATTTCAACGAACCCTCAACTCACAGAAGCGGTGATTGGTGATGTGTGCAACCGTGTTGCTCTGCAGCATGCAGAAAGATGTCGCTCACGTCGGAAGCAAGTGAAAATCGGCGCCTGAGTTCCAGAACCGCGCAGCTTTAAGGTTTTGCTTCGCGAAGACATGGCAAGTGATATGTAAGACGGATCGAGACGGCGTAAGACGCAAGCTTCTCTCCAGAATGACGTCGCCTTGGCGTACCGAAGCTGCAGACTGCTCAATGGGGGGTGTCAACATGCGATCACTGGCTCAAGAGCCCACTCTAAGTTTCTCTACATCGCGCTTGGCATATTGCAAGCTATGCCTAAAAACACTGTGTCGGGAGGCCACGGCCAGTGCAACAGTGAAACTATAGGTACCTGGAGTGCGCAAGGAAGAGTCCGCAAATTCCTCAGTGCCAAACCCTTGCAACTCATCCACATCAGGCTCTCCCATGCGTACAGCCTGTCAACACAACATCACAGCCGGAACGGTCGATCGCGATATTGAAGCTGGTAGCCCGCGAAGAAATCGCAGACTGTATCTGAGCAGCAAACGCAAGACCGTCAGGCCGGCAGCAGAGTGCGTGAGGCGAAGCGAGCCAGGCGCAGCATGATCCAATATCAGCATCCACCCTCTCCAAACAAACCACGCCCTGGCTTTGTCACACCCTGCGATAGACATACGGCTTATCCGCAATTTAAGCAGTAGAGGGTGCATACTCGGACTTGCTTCTGCATGCCATGTACAAAAGCCGATGCATACTTCGGCATCAATCTACATACCCAGTGGACTGCGCATTGCACACGTGCTTCCCATCGATCGGAACCTATCCTGCAGCCACATACAATGACACACAGCATGCTTGCAGCACAAGTCGGCCAGCGGGAGCTTGTCGACATGCAATACAGCCCTGAAACGTTCCGAAACGGCAGGTAAACAAGAGTCTCAATGAAGGCACACAAGAACCGGCACATAAACCTGAGCCCGGGACTCCTCTTGAAAAGCCTAGCATGGCTCTGAGCATGACTCATCATGATTCAACCACACTCGAACGCCAACTCTTCCGTTTGCCATTGCGTTTTGGATGTAGATGGCCTAGCTATCGAAAGGCAAGGTACAGGAGCCGCAAGACCCGCAAGATTCGCAAGGCTCGCAAGACTCAATGGAACGCGCTCAAATGTGCACCGCCAAGACTAATCCAAGCTGTAGCTGCATTAGTTGCACGACATTTCTTTCAAGCCTCCATTTGTGATGGTATCCTCGCCAATGCTTGCAAGACCTCAACGGAAGCATAAAACATGTAAGCACTGTACCACCCACGCAATGCAAATTCTCCACCAGCAAACATGGACAAACTTGGAGCCTAGCCCCTGCAACTAAATCGTCCTGTGAGTGCGAGACACCTTAGACGTCATCATCTTGTCTGCTTGGACACCGTGTGCGACAATAAATGCCTCAACTGTTCATTGCCGGACGGCTCAGCCTCACGACCTCTGCATGCAGAAATTTGCAGAAATCCCGTGGCACACCCCACAACCCTGCTGGGCTCGTTGACTCTTGGAGGTGAACACGCTGGCTGCAGCGGCCGGAAAATCTGAGCTCCTCAAGTCCTCAGCGTCAGCTCTCAAAACTCGTAGCATATATCACCCGTAGTAAGTCAATACACCAAAACAAGCTGTCAAGCGAATCCGAGCCGGCCTCCGCATTCTCACAGTTGAGCAAGGCGAGGTACCGATCCACCTGGCAGGTGAACACAAGCCACTCTCTTCTCGCAACTACAGAGGTTTAACGAATGTTTCTGAAATTTCACCAAGTAATCCAAACGCAATAACCGGAATCAAAGCATGATGTGGATGCGCCTTCTCGTGAGTGAGAGCGGGAAGACTAGCTTCTGGACCTGGCTGGCAATGTTTGCAAGTTGTTTTTCTTGGTACTGGATGCGCTCGGAAGTTACGACCCGCAAATGGCCAGCCCGATGATTGCCGGCGAAACGTTCTCTACTTCGGTGCCACCAGTACATACACAGGTAACATGATTGCTCACAAAGCTTCAAACTAACAACACTTTCAGGTTCTGCTGTACCGATGCAAGGGGTAAGAGAACTGAAACCAAACAGTCAGCTCGACGAATCAGCCGCGGCGGGCGTCTGGCTGGATCAGCCTTACGCAACGATCCCGCAACTAACCAAAACAAGGCCAACGCTCCTTTCCGCACCGTGCAACCGCAGCAAAAATTGGTGTCAGTCTCCCAGCCGGATCACAACAGTGACGCAATTTGAACAGTTGGCGGGGATCATGGACAGTTTACACGCATCAAGCAATCATCATGTCTTGAAGGGGCTGACCATTGAAGCCATGGCTGTGGCTGGCCACAACCCCGCCTTGCAGGGTCTTGAGCCAATTTGATGATATAATTCATGCAACTCACACTGCACAAGCAGGCCACACTGCCGCGAAAACACTACACAAACAACAACCATTGACTTTTTTTGGCATGCTTTGACGACAGTCAAATTTGGTATGACGTCGACCCGTGAAGGCTTGCCATCCGTCTTCGAACACAAACAACATACACGCACCTCTGAACGCCTACAAATTTCAAGCCAAAACATGTCTGAAACAATATGTTCTCTAAAATGCCTCTGCAGCACCTTCTAGTGGTTTCCACTAGTGCGTAATTGATGTTTATTAGTGGTTTTCCACACGGTAGTGAGTTTCGACTAATGGGTAGTGGGCTTCCACTAGTGAGGATTCCAATAAATACCACAAGTGTGCAGTGGCATTCCTCTTATAGCCAAAAGGTAAAAATTTGGAGTTGGGATTGCTCACACAGCATTTTTACTACATAAACGTCAAACTTGCGTGCCCCGGGCCACATCAAACCAACGAAAAACACACGGCCCCATCGCATTGCGATCTTTACATACCCCTGTAATGGGGATTTCGCGCAAGCGCCGCATAAACTGGGCATTCTAACTAGACCCGGTACTTCCCCTCGCTCTGTATACTTCCCCTTTGGTTTCACTATCAGTCTATTTAAAGACTCAAAGTTTGAAGCTTTCATTTTCCTGAATGTTCGGCAGAAGGGTTCTCGTTGTAAAGTTGGGGGTCTGGGGGTCGGAAGGTTGGAAGGTGACCAACGTTTGCAAGCGTCCGCAAGAATCGCGCACCTCCGCCGACGCCCCTCTTAAGCCCTACCCTTAAGCCCCCTTCTAAGCACCCCCCTAAGCTCCCCCCCTTTAAACTCCCTCTTCATAAAAGGAAGCCCAAAGGAAGAACTTTCCAAAGAACCTCCCAAAGCTGAACAGAGTTCCCACGGATCCCAGCTGCAAGAACGAAACAAGCATGAGGACCAAGAGCTCCTCCTTGTGCTTTGAAACACCTGAGTGCAACGGTGATCACCAAAGTGCCTCTAAAAAGAGGATGTTAGTGCTGTTGGTGTTGAAGCCAAGAGCAAGCA